GCCTCCATGCACAGAGCGGCATCGCCCACGGAGTGGCCTCCACACAAGGAGCAGCCTCTGCACATGGAGTGGCATCACACAAGGAGCAGCCTCCACGCATGGAGCGGCCTCCACGCACGGAGCGGCCTCCATATATAGGGCAGCCTCCACACATGGAGGAGCATCGCGCACGGAGCAGCCTCCGCGCACGGAGCGGCCTCCACTCATGGAGCAGCCTCCACACACGGACGGGGCATCACGCACCGAGCGGCACGGCACACGGACCAGCCTCTAAACGCGGAGCAGGCACGTGCACGGAGCGACCTCCGCACGCAGAGCAGCCTCCGCACGCCGCACCGCCCCAAATGAGTCCCAGCCTCCATAAGCCAGACTCCCTTGCCCCTTTGGTCACTTTGGTCCTTCATCTGCTTGCTCCTTCATCACCTTCCTCCCTCCGTCCCCTTGTCCCGTGTCCCCTCGGTCACTTCACTCCCTTGTCCCCTCATTCCYTGTCACTTCACTCCCTTGTCCCCTCATTCCCTGTCACTTYRCTCCCTTGTTCCYTCTGCTCCCTCGTCCCCTCTGTCACTTTGGGCCTTCATCTCCTCACTCCATCACCTTCCTCCCTCCGTCCCCTTGTCCCGTGTGTCCCCTTGGTCACTTTGCTCCCTTGTCCCCTCATTCCTTGTCACTTCACTCCCTTGTCCCCTCATTCCTTGTCACTTTGCTCCCTTGTCCCCTCTCCGCAGCTCAACGCGCATCCCAGCCGTGCCGTCGCCGCCTGCTCCGCTCGATTCCCAACAGCCCCCCGCGCTTCCCGCTGCTTTTCCCAAGGGCTCCCGGGCTGCGAGTGGRCATTCCCGGTCAGCTCCATCCTCACCGACGCAGCCCCAGCGCCGCCCACATTGTCACCATCACCGGACACCACGTGGGGACATCCAGGACCCCGAGGCCACCTCCTGCTCGGGGGGACCCGGCCTCCCCGGCTGCTTCTCTCCCTCGGAAACCCTTCGGGAGGCCCCATTCCCAAGGGATTCTGGCTCCTACGGGATGAGCTGGTGGCCTGGATCCCCCACGGCCCCCCTCGCCCAGATGTTCCCAGGCATGTGCCTGCTCCGAGGCACCTCGCATCCCGGATGCGGGATTCCCAAGGGCYGGGATAGCCCTGCCCCGGGCGGCTCATCCTGCAGCACCGCTCGGCTCCGCACGGATTCCCAAGGGGGGACCCTCAACGGCCACCGCAAGCGCCCGGAGAYGGGATCGGGTCCCCTCTCCTCATCCCCGGGTCGATGATCTCCAGAGCTCCCTTCCAACCGTAACCATTCCGTGTGTCACCCAGCGCATCCCACAGGAGAGCCCAGAGCGGGATAGCATTCCCAGGCGGCCGCTCACCCACGTCCCACAGGAGAACCCAGAGCAGGAGAGCATTCCTGGGCATTCCCGGCCATTCCCAGCAGCCGCTCACCCGCGTCCCGCAGGAGAACCCAGAGCGGGAGAGCATTCCTGGGCATTCCTGGCAGCCGCTCACCCATGTCCCATGGGAGAGAGCATTCCCGGGCATTCCCGGCAGCCGCTCACCCATCCCATGGGAGAGCATTCCTGGGCATTCCCGGCAGTCGCTCACCCGCATCCCATGGGAGAGCATTCCCAGGCATTCCTGGCAGCCGATCACCCCCATCCCATGAGAGAGCATTCCCAAACATTCCTGGGCATTCCCAGTGGCTGCTCACCCGCGTCCCGCGGGAGAGCCCAGAGCGGGAGAGCGTTCCTGGGCATTCCCAGGCATTCCGGGCAGCCGCTCACCCGTGTCCCATGGGAGAGCGTTCCCGGGCATTCCCGGCAGCCGCTCACCTACGTCCCATGGGAGAGCATTCCCAGGCATTCCTGGGCATTCCTGGCAGCCGCTCACCCGTGTCCCATGGGAGAGCATTCCCAGCAGCCGCTCACCCGTGTCCCATGGGAGAGCGTTCCCGGGCATTCCCGAGAGCTGCTCACCCACGTCCCATGGGAGAGCATTCCCAGCAGCCGCCACCCATGTCCCATGGGAGAGCATTCCCGGCAGCCGCCCGCCCCCGTCCCATGGGAGAGCGTTCCCGGGCATTCCCGGCAGCCGCTCACCCATGTCCCATGGGAGAGCATTCCCAGCAGCCGCCCGTCCCACGGGACGGCATTCCCGGGCATTCCCGGCTCACCCCGCAGTGCGTGGCCGTGGTCTCCTGGAAGTGGAAGAGCAGCGACCAGGCGACGCAGAAGAGGAAGCCGAAGAGC